CGATGTTTCTTGAGGGTGGCGATGGAGAAGGTGGGATTGGGCATCCGGTTCGGGTCCGAGGGCGTTGAATTATAATATGGTATGCGTTCGTCGTTCCATTTTCTTTCCGTGACATTTATTCCTTTTTTCTTTCTTTCTTTTTCTTCTTAGATGAACACAAACTTATGCCGCCGCCACCTATGCCCGCTTCTTTGGACCCAACGACGATCTCCTCCACGGACGTTGCGGGTGTTCCGAGCCCACAACCTCGTTATCACAACTTACCTCATCTCAATGCAAATTCAAACCATTGACTACCAACACCCGCATCTTCGCTTTCCATACCTACCTCCACAACCTCTCTACCGCCTTCAACGTCATCTCCAGCCCAATTTTCCCCATCGCCACTCACAACGTTCGCCAATCTCTCGTTACTCAGCCCCGCACTCCTCAACCAAGTTCAGCAGCAGCAACAAGGTGGTGGCTCGCCCTCTTTTCCATTTCCGCCTCTATCGAGGAAGGTCGAGGAGGGCGACAAGGAGAAGATCTTCAAGCCGAAGATCTGGGGTCCGCTGAAGGCTGGTTTGCCCACGTCGTCGTCGGCACCTTCTCTCCAGGCATCTTCGCCGCTTTCCTCTTCTTTTAAGGCATCATCTTCTGCGAAGGACGTCGTGCGTCAGCCTTCGCCGTCGACTTTGGCGCAGACGCCACAGCATGAAGAGGAGGATGTGAAGATGGTTGATGGAACGTCTCCACATAGTCCGACGTTCTCGAAGGTACCTCTCAGACCAAAATCACCCTCTCAAGACCCGGATTCCGTGGCATCAACTCCGCACTCGCGGAATGACGAGCCTCTACCACTCGTGGGCGACCTTGTAGCTGAGGAATCGAAGGTATTAGGACGGAAGGAGGACGAAGATTCTCATATGGCTGGTGTAGACGAACACGAGGTGAAGACAGTCGAAGAGCCTACTTCAATACCCACATCGACCCCTCCACAGACAACCCTCTGGGCTCTGTCTGTGATGTCATTCTTTTCTTTCCAACTGAACGTCGGGGCTCAACCGGCCACTGGAGACTCTCTTGGCTACTATATGGTATACTAGTATACGGCGTCGAACATCTTCTGCGTCTCTCGCTAAACCTCAAGGCATGGCCTGAAACTCAAGCAGTTATGCTTCACACCGTGCCAGCAAAGAAGACAACGTGGTAAGAAGGCAAAGAAGCGTCAATGGAGACCCGGTGAGTTAGGAAAAAACCCTTCCCATCTCATTTTCTGACATCGGCTCAGCGCTTCAAGTACCACCACCTATAATCGTGCCACGACATCGACCACTACCGCACCTCCAGCGCCCGTCAAACCTTCGCCATCCATCGCATCACTTCCTCTCCCTCAAACCTCAGGAATGCTTCCAACACCTCTCCCGACTGTATACCACCCCGTTGCCCCAGCGGCGGTCCTTACAACGCAGCCACAATCACTTATCACCTTCACCCGCACCGCAGGCCTTCTTCCTGCCCACCATTCCCTAGCACCTCTACCTCCTGCGCTCCCCACACCCCCAGTACCATGTTACTACCTCGCTTTTATTGATTTGTATCCGTAGATTCCTCCCTGTATACTCGTCCTTTGTACACTTTTTTGGAATGTATTTCTACTGGCTTCTCCTTAACGTCTCCTTCACGAGCGAGTCCCGTTATGCGCTAGCCCGCCATTGTTCCTGAAACGACAGTGGCCAAACAATAAACAGTGGCGCACGGCGGGTCCGTCCGAATTGAGAATTCCAGTTTACTGCGATTAGTGACCAACTCTAGGAAAGGAGTGACTCCCATAACGTACTGGTAAGTAGTCTAGGAAACTTTAAGGTTCGGATGACATCAGATTTTAACAGTCCGACTCAGATTCAATCTGCGCCCAGCTGACGTTTCAACTTCAGCTCAGAAGTCGTCTAATGTGCACTTCCTGCCAGGGAATTAACAGATTCGAAAGCACCTGTACTCGACGCGACCTCTGCCAGCGTCAGGATGGTGGCCCATACGATCCCAAGACCCCTCAGAAACCCAAGCAACTGAAGCAGACTCCCAACGCGCGTTCAACCGGAGATTCGATTGACCCGAATCAGAAGGAATCTGCAGACGATAAGTTTCTGAAGGCCAGCTCGCTCCTGAAACTGCCCAAGGGTACAAAGGCCTGTGTCGTAACCCTTCGGTCCGAGCCTGGGGCGGGGACCGAAATGTGCCACATCGTCGCAAGGAAAAAGAATACGGGCCCTTTCAAGGTGTGTTGCATTTTGAGCGTTGGCGTGCATTACATTCACGACGCGTAACAATAGCTCAGCCACTTTGAGTTCCTGTGGGGCATTAAATACAAAGAGTTCTGCGTCGACACGTCGAGGAATCTGATGAGATGTATGTGGTTCGTTGAATCCGCCCAACCAGTCTAACACTGCGAAACTAGTGTCTGCAACTCTTCACCGTGCATTCGATGAAGACAGCTGGGCACTGCTTCCCATTGACGTCAAGGTCCTTGGGCCTATGAGACTTCACTACGAGGATTGGAAGATTCTCGGACCCGAAATGACTAAGGAACAGTATAAGCACCATCGATTTGAGAAGGTACGAAGCAGATCCGTTCAACAAACTGTGATTGACTCGTTCAGTACAGTCTACGGTCTACGGAAAGAGAAAGGCATTCCGATATGTCTTGCTTCCTCTGGCCTCCCCACGCTTCCATATGCCTGTTCTTCGTTGTAGGCCTCCCCTCGTCGTCCCCCAAACTGCAGCCGACATGCACATTTTCCCATACAACACCCTCCCCGACCTGATTCTTCATGTCGAGCCGCACTACGTGATCTGGAATCTCGGGGAAAAATTCAAGCGGCGAGGACTGACGTCGAAGTACATAGCTGAGGATCCCGCTCTTACACCTCTGAGGCAACACGTCGACGCCCTCAGAGCTTGCTTAGAAATTTTTGAGATGTGGTATGGCTTCAAAACTCCGGAGTGGTTCTATGACGACGACGGCAATGGCGGCGACAGCGACGGTGACGACAGCAACGACGGTGACAGCAACAATAACAACAACAACGAGTCGGATCCGAACGCTGGTGGCCCCTCTCGTGGCACACGTGCTCAAAAACGCAAACGTCCCACTAGAACGGATGGTCCCGGAGGAGACGGCTCGCGGGGATACACCTTGAGCCAACATCCCGAAGACGAGCTGATGGACGACATCGGGTCTGACGACTCGTCGTCTCGGCAAGATGATGATAAGGACGACTTTATGGAATCGGAGGAGGACTTCTCAAACAGGATTGATGGATGGCGGGGAGAGGTGGCGATTTTCAATGAGAGCAGTGGTCTGGAGGGTTCTGGTTTGGACATGGTTGTCATTCCTCCTTGTGGCAACGATTTCGCCGCGTCGAAGCTCAATGATTTTGAGAGTCACGGGGCTCAAGGTGCAGCTGAGGTGATTTGACGGCTCTTTACTGTCATAGGACATACACTGTTTATCTGTTGAGCGCAGAGCGAAATGTGAGAAACTTTATTCTGAGTAATCTACAACGAGGCAGCATGCATTATGATTACTGTTTGGCAACACCCTTCAGAATGGGGTCTAATTGGTGTCTCGCCAGCATTGTCAATGACGGAGGGGCCTCAACTGCCCAACATTCAGTCCCTAGCTTATTATATTGAGGTATCATAATTTATACCTCAAGCTAAATATAAAATGTGCGGTAATGCGCAACAGATAGGAATGAGCAGGAGAGAGAACCGGAGTGAAGCAGTGGTGGGTCTATGGAGCGATTACAGGTCCTTGGCTAGTATTTGATGTAAATTGTCATGTTCTTCGGTAGTCTTAAGGGATTAAAACAATGAAGAGGGGTCGTGAATGTGGATGGGAATGGGAGGAGGCAAAGTTATTGTGGGGGTGATTCTTGGCTATTAATCGCGGGCGTGTGAAAAGAGAGATAAGATAAGCGAGATCTCGACTTTGCATTCGCACCTTGCGACACAAGAGCTCCTGCTCACCATGCAGCAATTTTCTCATATTTAACCCTCTCCCGCGTCTTGTCCTTGTGTAAATGAAGTGTATGGCCACAAAAAAACGGGCCCAATCTACGGGCCTTCAATATTTCGAATTCCCTAGCCTTATGCTCGCCAACTTCAAAATGCTTGTGGACACTAACACCGCAACAATTGGTATATCCCATGCAAAAACAGGGAAACTACACCGCCATTTCCGCGAAACGCGTTAGCAGCGTGAAATTCTCACGGAGTTGAGGTATTTTTGGAATGTTGCGTCGACGTGGGCGGAATATTGTGGACAGTTTGACTCTGGGATTTGGACACCGTGACTACATTTAATGTGGGTAGCACTTGTAATCTGATAAGCCGTTCATGAATTTTGGTAGCTTAGACGGTTGCCTGTAACAATGTGCTGTCCATCTTCCTCGGCTTGTTTCTACCACCATCTAATTTGGTCTCATACCATGAAATTGTTTACTCTACCGGCATGTTTTTTGATGTGTTTTTGCGATACTTTTCGATAGATCAACTCCTTGCCTGTATGAACGCGTCGTTCGCATTTGTAGTTGGCGCCGTGTGATCCAAAGTAAAAGCGAACATTCACTCCAATTTCCCCCCCTCAATTACCCGTCGTAAATGAAATCGTTTACATTATTAGAATCATGTCTCAGGTCCGCTCAACTGTGCTTTTGCGATATGTTTCAACAGCTCAGCTACTGGCCCGTATGAATGTGTTGTCCAGATTGGACTATACAGTAAAGGCGAACGTTCGCTTCAATTTCCCGCCCTCAATTACCCGTCGTAAATGAAATCATCTACATTATTATAATTGTGTCTCAGGTCTGCTCAACTGTGCTTTTGTGATATGTTTCAACAGCTCAGCTACTGGCCCGTATGAATGTGTTGTCCAGATTGGTACCGGGGCGTGTGCGATGCACTGTAAAGGCGAACATTCGCTACAATTTCCAGCCCATTGTTTGCAGTTACAAATTGCACTTCAGCCATGCCGACTCACAAGGCGGTAGCTAATCATTCAACCCAGCAAGGACTGACTCTCCTGAATCACCGTCAGTTATTATTGCAGAGGGGTTCAACAATTTGTTAAACACAAAAATCCTACAACATTTCAAGCCCTCGGCACCTGTCTTAAGCAAGGTCAGTTAGGTTATTAGAGCAGTGTTTCTCAGGTTGGGACCGGCATGAAAAATGGCCCATACAAAATGTGCATTTATCAAAAGAAGTCGCATCGATGCCCTGTTATTATCACACTATATCTATCCCCGCAACGACATCATCAACGCGCTGCTGCCACTCATCGGGAACAGTATCCCCAATCACATATTCTTCCGCCACACCGTATGTAGCTCGATCAATCTTCAGGATTTCATTGAATGCCCTGCATAGAATGTCAGCTAATTATCAATGAAGAAGAATGAAGGGATGGTAGCCCACCTCGCTGTTTTAGAGGCCGAGGATCCTGCTCTTGTTCGGA